ATGGGTTCACGTGAACCCACGGCACCCCCTCTAGATACGCCTCTGATAACTTGGCTATCTCATCGACTTTTTTCATACTTGAATACCTTTAGATGGTCGGTGAGCTGTTTCGCGGTCAAGTCCGGCACACACATCCTCTCCAGAACATCTTTAAGATGGGCTAAATCGACATGGTAAGACAAATAATGAGAATTCAATAGTAAAATTGTGAACATTCAGAAAATGTCTACTTAAGAATTTCCTTAACCGACATTCTTGTTTTTTCTACCTATCTATATTAGGATAAAGACTAAGTCTTTAAATACTTACCTTTTTATCCTAACTCGCGAACAGTCTCGTCTACTTTCTTATCAAGATCTGTTGTCCATTGCAGGTGTCGTCTTTTCTTTTGTGGTCTTACTGTAGTTATTTTCGAAAGCAAAGAATGATCCTCCTCTTTTTCTAAAGTAACACTACTTTTATCTTGTGCCTCCTTATTAGTACTTCTCATTCTCTTAGACCTTTTTGCCTCATCTTTTTCTATTAAAGAACCTACTGCTTGATCTTGATAAGTCTTAGAGCAATTCGCTATGCTTTTTCCCTTTCTATCTTGCACTTTCGTAGGACAAGATGTATTGTCCATAGCATAAACTTGATTAGCCTTGTGGTGTTGTGATATTTCATTTGCCTTGTTATTGTAGTTCTTCACATGCTTCCATACATCCTTGAGTTTCATTGATGAAATGGACGATTTCCAAAAAATTAAGCATGCCCCTTGTGTTGTTGCTTCTTTTACCATTTCTATCGTCACCTCTGGAGACATCACTAAACCAAAAAATGAAAAATCAGAACAAAACATTAAATGAGGTATTCGGAATTATCAAGAGAAGTTAGATGTTCATAAATATATACACCACGTTTGTAAGGAACATATATAAATATAGAATTTGACAAAAAAAAAACATATAGAGAAACTACAAGTAACATTAGTGTGTTTAGAAGTTAATTTTTTGACATTATTATTAAAGTAGATAAAGTTCAGTAATGATGTGTGATATTGACATGTTTAAATACACTTTTGAATTATTGAATAGTACACACTAATTAAACCACATAAAATAATTAAGATTTTGATAAAATAGTCTTACAAATGATAGGTTTGTCTTTGATGAGTTGAGTGGACTTGATGAACTCAAGGTAGTTCATTTCGGGCATGTTGACATCCACCATGACCAAGTCAAATTGGTCGATCTGTTTCCGGAGAATGGATAGAGCTATAGTTGCTTGTTTGATTGCAGTTACTACATAATCAAAAATCAAACTCAGAAAATATCACAAAAAAGTTTTATATATTGAGGGATATTTTCATAATAATTAGTGGTATACCTTCCCTTTCCTTTATGTTATTACACGGATAAAGGTAGTATGACCTGACTAATAATATTACATTAGAAGTATAGACATGAATATTTGATTGATGCTAAGTGACTAAATCATTCAAGTCTTTGATAAGTTAATTAATTTAATCTTGTTGCCTAAGAATCCAATTGATTCTTTTCCATTTAAAATACAACTCAGTTAGCATGTTGATAAATTTGATGATTAAGTGAATATATTTTCATAAGGTTGAATATATCGATAACCTTTTACACTTGATAATAAATTTTCTTTAGATATTTAAACTACAACATGCTCCGATTGAGCATTTAAACAATTGATAAAGTACTGTTTATGTTAGACGGTTCAGATTAAATATTTAGAAAAAGCTTATGTTCTCAAACATCCATTAGGTAGATAATTTAACTATGTCACATCCATTTGTTATGTTCTCGAGAATCATAAACGACAAATTTCAACTATAATTTATTGAAACAACAAATATAACAAATCCATTCAGCACTATTGTAATTTATTCATCTATAGCTACGCTAAGTCATACATGATTGAAACACATGTTAAAATTGACTAAAAGTTTTAGGCATGTGCATCAAATACTTTTTTGCCAATAAAATAAACTAGTTTTCTTCTTCAAATTTCAACCTGAAATTACTCCAAATAAATTTAAATTCTAATTTTATGTTTCATTTATGATAAAAAAAACCATCAATCATCAATTTTACGGAAATTCACTTCTTTAACTATAGAATATAAGTTCAAATTTTATGTAGAAGATCCAACAAAAATAAGGGGGAAAAAACTCCAACACATATCAGAGAAAACCAAAAGAGATATAATATTGTCATACCTTTTAAAGAATGTTCTTCAAGAATTGTTGTTATATTTGATAAAGAAGCAAAACATTTTCTCTAGCCAAACTACAACAACTAGATTGCACTAACCCACCACGCAAGGAGCAAACAATAAATTGTGAAGATAAAGTATCAAGGAAGATTGTGTGCTCTAACACCTTTGATGCCCTAATGATCAATTCTAATCAAGAGCTCCATGCTTTGTCCACCCCAATTCTTCAAGTTTCTAATCCAGAAACTACTCGAATAATCAAAGAGTCACATGCCACAATGTTGAATAAAGAAAACCCAATGATCAAACCACATTCCAAAAGGAATGACAAGAGTTTGGTGAAGGAAACGAGTGATTCTAGATGGGCAGATTTAGTTGAGGAAGAGGAGCATGCACCTACTAGGAGTAAGTTAATGTAACATCTTGCAAGTTGAAATAACTATGGAGAAGCTTGAAATTTGAAATAGCCATTTTTTTTTTTTGGAAAGAATTTCAGAATCTGGAAATTTGGTTAAGTATGGAAAAAAACTGAGTTTTTGGTCAACTTTGAACAGTCATAACTCCTAGATCAGGATGAGTTAGGTGTATTTCCAGTTATGTTTGCAAAGATCATGGAATATTCTTTCCAACGCCATCGAATTTGCTCGATTCCAAATTCGTATGAGTGAGTTATGCCCTTTGGAAGTTGGGCTGTTGGCACAGGGAAGTCATCCCGAATTTGTAAGGGTATTTTGGTCTTTTCCCTAACCATTTCTTTTGGTTATATTAAGGGTCCAAGCTGATTTTAAATCAGTTTTCCCATTTTAAAAAGTGAGAGTGAGGGTTTGTGAGTGAAGAGGAGAGAAGAGGGGAAAGGAGAAGAAGAAGCAAAGTCCGTGAAGATCATCGTGGTTTTCGTCGGGGGTGATCCCTATTAAGGTAGTGTTGATTTCATAGTGTTGGGTTGGTTCAATCCCCACACGCCAAACTCGTTTTTATTCCGAGAAAAGATTGGTTGTGTTTGTTGAAGTTTGTGGTTGTGTTTGTTGAAGTTGTAGTTGTGTTCGTTGAAGTTCTTGTTGTCTTGGTTCATGTTTCCAGTTAAAATTCTGAGTTGATTCTATTGTATATTAAGGGTTTTTATGTTTCTAAGTGTTTGGTGCTGGAACCTTTGAGGTTGAGAGGTTTTAGAGTTGGAGAAATGAAGGAGAAAAGTCGAGTATTCTGGGGAAAGGGGTGACGTGTCGCGCCAGCCATCGCGCCCCAAAAGGGGTTCTGAACTTCCACCCTTGGGGCGCCGCGCCTGCCAGTGCGCCCCATCAGACCTTCTGAACTTTGAGGGTTGGCGCCCTGCGCCTCTTAGAGCGCCAAGGACGCCAATCCCTCCCATTCTCTCCCCACTTTTTCATACATGTTCCTTGGTAATGTACCTATGTTTTATAGTTGTTTTCAACACTCTAAGGTACAACTAAACGTCACGAACTCATCCATAAACATGAGATCATTACCCTTGAATTCATAATCCAATTTGAGGAAAGTTCGGATCAAAGTCAAGTGAAATTAGAGTCAAGTTTAGAAGTTAAGAAGCAAGTCTTTAAAGTTTTTAAGAGTCTTTATTGAACGTTTTAACTTCATTTTAAGGCTCAAGTTTCAAGTTAAGCCAAGAGTATAAAGTTGAGTTCTTTTCTCAAAAGTTAATAGGGAACTAAGTATTCCCAAAGAAGTTTTAAAGAAATGTTTTCACATTTAAACAAGATTGGAACTGAGATCTCCAAAGAGCATTCGGGCTAGTTTTCTAGAAAAGAGTAATTGCTATCTAAATGAAGCAAGAGAGGAAACTGAGATTTCCAAGATAGCCTTTGAGCTAAGTTTTTGAGTAATTATCTCAAATCAGCAAAAAGAAATATGTTTTAAAAATATAAGAGCCACTACATTTTTGGGAGTAGTATTGGGCACCGAATTGGGGGAGCGTTCAAAGAACCCACAGCCCCCATAGAACCATGTAGCCATCATGGGTAGAAGAGGTTCATACTTTTTAGATGAATCCTTTTCAGATTAGACTAGTGGATCCATTAGGCAGTTCAGGTCCTATACCTTTGGTAGGGTATAGGATGCTCTAGCAGCGTGAGGTTGATCGCTGTATCATCACTATAGCTCTTATGTGATGGTTGTCGGTTAGAGAAACTCCCACAGCAGTTATTGTATTTTTAAATACATTAGTTCATTTGTATTTCTACATACATCTCAGACTTATTGTATCTTTGTATACACGTAGAGTTTATAACATGTTTTAACAGCTTTTCTTTATATTGCACTTGTTTTAAATTGCCTTATATTGAAATGAGTCAGTCAGGTTGAGTGAGTTGAGCCAGGTAGGTTATTCAGTCTCTTCCAGATTTCCTTCTAGCTTATGTTGCTTAGCATTCCAGCTCGCATACTCGTACATTCAATGTATTGATGCCAGTTGGCCTGCATCTTGTGATGATGCAAACGGTTTTAGAGTTGCTGCGTAGGATATTTTTGAATTAGGGTTGACGTTTGTCTCCCACAGCCACAGACTGTGAAGAAGGCGAAGCAGTCATGGCTGCTATCACGTCCCTATTGATCGCTTGAGAAAAGAGCGGAGATTTAATCTTATATCATTCTTTGGATTAACTTGAAATTTATACGATATTAATTTTTTAAAAAGCTAATATCACCCATCTATTTACCTTGAGTAAATTTTTATAAAATAAAATTAAGGAGGGCCAAAACTTAACCATACCAGTTCACTTGATCATTGATTAGTTTTTATTTTTAAAATGGCAATTATTGGGACTGTTTCAGTTACTATTTTGTTTTATCATAGCATGAAAAACTTTTTAACTTGAGTCTAGTAAATTTGTCAAAAAATGTATCATTAAAAAATAAAATTAATTACGCAAAGCATTTCTCTTAAGCGACATATTTCTTAACTAATATTTGTACCTTAAATTTTGTTTAATGGTTCTAACTCTTCAAGAACTTCAAGTGCAATAATAAATAATATAAACATGACAAAAATTAGCATTCGGGGGTAGAGTAAGAAAACAATGATATTGATAAGTGGATTGTACATGATTTGTTGATTCATGATCTTTTTATAGGGGACTATAACAGTGGAAGCAATCTGGCTTACTCGTTTTAAAAAACCAAGCTTTAGCAAAGATCAGGCAATGAAAAATATGCAAAGCCTTAGGATATTAAGCATACACGGGTGTTATCCATGGGCTTCCCTAAGTGATTCAGAAGATATTCCTAATGGCTCTGTTGAGTACCTTTCCAACAACTTGTGTTGGTTTGTGTGGCATCATTATCCTTGGAAGTTATTGCCAGAAAATTTTAATCCCAGAAGGCTTGTTCATCTTGATCTCCAATCGAGTTCATTGCATTATTTATGGAAGGAAACAGAGGTACCATTCTATTTTTAATTGTCCTAGAATTATATATGATTCTTGTGTTTAAATTAAATAAGTTATTTACTCCATAAACTCAAACTAATGTATTTTACATTATTTTGGGTTGTACGTTCTCATATTATTAATCTCTATGAATTGCATTTCCAACCTCTGCATCTAATTAAAGAATAAACAAAAAGAAATATGTTGGCACAACTTTTCTACATCAACATCCAGATAATCAAGTATAGCGGAAATTTAAATAAAACATGCTAGGATTAAGGTCTTCTTTTAGATATTTTACCTTTTATTTATTTATTATAACATGATTTTTATCTAGTTTCTGAGCATTTAATTTGACACGTTGAGTTATAATATAAACATGTCGTTTACTACTTTTCATCATTCTTTCTGTGTTTTGAATAGCTGCAGCAATTTCTGTCTCTACGAAGGATAGATCTATATGGCTCCAAAAGCCTGAAGAGAACACCAGATTTCAAGGGGATGCCAAATTTGGAGTATTTGGATCTAGGCCAATGTAGGAGTCTTGAAGAAGTTCATCCTTCCCTCAAGGATTGCAAAAAACTCATGAAGTTAAATTTGCCTTATTATACAAAACTTGAGAGGTTTCCATATGATAATGTGGAATCTCTTGAATCTTTGGACCTAAAATTCTGCTCTAGTTTAGAGAAATTTCCAGAAATCCTTGGAATAATGAAGCCGGAGTTAGAGATTAATATGTCATGCTCTGGGATAAGGGAACTGCCATTATCTTTCTTTGATCTCCAACCTCATCTTACACTGCTACATTTGAATGGCATGGAAAACCTTTTATCTCTTCCAAGCAGCATTTGTAAGTTGAAAGGTTTGGTGAAGCTACATGTGTCAAAGTGCTCAAAACTTGAAAGCTTGCCAGAAGAGATAGGTGATTTAGAAAACTTGGAGTATCTTGATGCCAGTTATACTCTAATCTCACGACCTCCGTCTTCCATCGTCTGGTTGAACAAACTTAAATCATTGACTTTTAAAAAATATAAATCAGAAGATAGAGTGAACTTCGTGTTCCCTCCAGTGAGTGAAGGGTTATGCTCATTGCAAGAACTGGATCTCAGTTACTGCAATCTAATAATTCCGGAAGACATTGAATCCTTATCCTCTTTGAAACACTTGAATCTCAGTGGAAATAATTTTGAGCATTTTCCTCGTAGCATATTCGAACTCGGTGCTCTTCGATCCTTGAACTTATCAGATTGCAAGAGACTTACACAGCTGCCAGAAGACATTGGATGTTTATCCTCTTTGAAAAAGTTGTATCTCAAGGGAAATAATTTTGATCATTTGCCTCAAAGCATATCCGAACTTGGTGCTCTTCGATCCTTGAACTTATCAGATTGCAAGAGGCTTACACAGCTGCCAGAATTTCCACAGCAATTAGACACAATAGATGCAGATTGGAGCAATGCTTCAATCTGTAATTCACTGTTTCAGAATATCTCATCATTGCAGCATGATATATCTGATTCACATTCGTTATCACTAAGAATGTTTACTGTTGAGCATCCTGGAATAAAGATCCCAAGTTGGTTCCACCATCGGGGAATGTATCATAAAAGTGTATCAGTCAATTTTCCTGAAAATTGGTATGTACGTGATAACTTCTTGGGATTTGCTGTATGTTACTCTGGCAGGTTAATTGAAACCAAAGCATACTTGATTCCCTTATGCAATCGGATGTCGTGGATGATCCAGAATTTATCCTTAACCAATCATCCAAAGTACCATACAGAATCTACCATTAATTTTTTCTTGGTACCTCTTGCTTGTTTATGGGATACATCTAAGGCAAATGGAAAAACACCAAATGACTATGGAATTATTGGTTTAACTTTTTCTGGTGAAATAAAGGATTATGGACTTCGTTTGTTGTATAAAGATCACTCCATTGGGACAAGGAGAAGCAGATATAATGATAGTGAACACCATAATGAAGCCAGTTGCTTGTCTTCTAAGAAACAAAGGTCAGGTTCTAATGTTGATGCGCCAGTTAATCCAGAAATTTTGCAGCTCTTTCCGACAAGCCCTGGATTTGTTTGAATAAAGGTATATATAACTCTTGAGTTTGGTATCGAAATTGTGTTCTCTCTCTCTCTCTTTTGTGTAATTCTCTCCTTCTGTTGCCTACAAAGTCTTCTTTCATAACCAATACATTTTTTTTTTCCTTCTTCTTTCTCCTATTGTCTCCGTTTGTTCTGAGCCATCATTAACCATGGTGAGTTAAAGGATGTGAACAAGTTTTAATTTTTTAAACTTTGCATGTTGAATATAAAATGGTAAGTAAATAAGAGATCTAATTGCATCTTTATTGATCCTCAAGTAAAGCAACCCTTTGGAAATGTGTGCTTGAGAAGCCCTGAGCTATTTTAACACTCCTTAAAGTCTTGAATTAATATTCATTCTATGGAGATTATGTGAGAGAATTAAATTTCTAAGTTCCAAGACGATACATATATACAGATGTGTAGTAGAACGAATCAATTGGGAACTTAATTAAATGGTTGGAGTAATTGATCACGTCTTTCTGCAGATGTATATTCAACGATATCAAGAATTTACCATGTTATCATTTGTAGGTGTTATAAGTTCAAAGAGAAAACTTTATGGCAGATGACGGGTCAGTACTTTTAATACTTCTGCATCAAACATTTTCATGTGGAGAAGTATTGATCATGCTCTAACTTTAGCAATACACTTTTGTAAGTATTGCTCTCTCAGATTGTTATATTAGCACAAAATCTCTGTTTTAAATAATGTAAGTATCTCTCTTGTTATGGGAAATAAGACGAAACAATTAAAGAGGCAGCATAACTTGAGACAGTGAGGGAATTGCAGATGAGCATTGGAACTATTAGTAAGTCGCCTCACATCACAAAGCTAACAGAGCAAAAAGGAACTATTTCCAGAAATCAAACGTATTCCACTGGAGTCGGAGTTGTGTGAATTAGAATCAGAGTTATCAAAAGAGATGAACATACGTATCATTTGCTATCAGATACATTGAATTATGATATTGAGTTTTCTCTTCTTTTTTTAATGATTCATCTTACTGGCAAAAGGAACTAAATCACATATTTTTTTAGCAAATTTACGCTAGACAGAATATGTAGCAGTCTTGCCTAAGATAAAGTTTTAACTTGAAACATCATACCGATTTTATTGATATCCATTAAAACTCACCTTAGGATCAAAACATTTGTCAGCCGAAAATAAATTAAATTAATAAGAATAATCTAAATAGAACGACATACAATGAAACTCTACCTAACAAGTTGTCTGCCTTGTTTTTTTGACTAGTCCTTGTTCGAATTAAGCATAAGAAAATCAAATATTTTTTGGAACATATTTTTAGCTGTCCATTGTTTATGTATTATTGTGAAGTTTTGGTGTAGGTGGGTAGGTGGTCTTTGGAGGAATTTTCTACTTCTTTTAATTAATAAAAATAGCCATAAACTTTTGTCCTCCTTAGTCTTTATTTATATTTGTTGATTCTTTTTTTCCATTCAAGTAGAGCATGTAATTCACTTTTTCTTTCTCACCAACTTTCCTCTTCTTTTATTTATTTTTAATTGTTTAAGGAATTTTCTAATAACAGCATTCCGTAAAAAGTGGTATCTAGTCGTCTAATAAATGGGATTCAAACCCAAAATTTCTTCATTCAAATGCACACCCATTACCACTGCACCAAAGGCATAACTTTTGTCAAGGGTGTCCAACTTTAAATATATATTCTTTAAATATAGAATTTGACATACATATACAACGTAAATTTTTGATGTCGGACACCCTAGGGATGTGACTACGCCACTGCTGACCCGGACAATACGCTACAATTCTCACATTTCCGACATTATCCTACCATATTAATGATAAAAGTTACATCTAACAAACAAATACCTAACTAGACATACTTTACTACCATATATACTTAATTTATCTATACTTTTAAAAAAATTACACATAATATCACTTATAATATTTATACCATATATTTTAAAATATTTAGTCAGACACCCAAATCTCTTAAATAGAGTATTGAATAATTATCTTAAAATTTAAACTCCTTAATTAATGGTAAATTAGCAATTTCAATGTTCACTTTTTCCATCCATAAATTAGTTTCTGCTAAATTTCATTTGTGTTAACATCTTCTTCTTTGTGTCCATCCACTATTGTTTGTCGGGATAAGATCATGCACAACCCTTAAGAAAAATTTACTTGCTCCGTCCACTATTGTTTGTCAGGATAAGATCATGCACAACCCTTAAGAAAAAATTAATATAATGTGTAATTTGACTAATATAACCCTACTATCAATCATTATTAAAATAGTTTGTACTTTTTTGAAAACGGTAAAAATAACTTTTTTTCATATTAAAGTAGTCTTGTAACTTTAAAATGACTACTTTTTGAAATCAGTAGTTAAGTAATTATTAAGGGCAGAATTGGAAAAAAGTGACTAATTGTTTCTTGATTATTTAAATTGACAATCAATTTTGGACAACTATTTTTAGTATACCTGACAAACAATAGTGAACGGAGAGAGTAATATAAGGTGCAATTTGACTAATATAACCCTACTATCAATCATAATTAAAATGGTTTGTATTTTTTGAAAACTGTAAAAGTAACTTTTTTCACATTAAAGTAGTCTTGTAACTTTAAAATTACCAGTACCTTTTGAAACCAGTAGTTATGTAATTATTAAGGGCAGAATTGGAAAAAATGACTAATTATTTCTTGATTGTTTTAAATTGACAATTAATTTAGAACAACTATTTTTAGTATATCTGCCAAATAATAGTAAACTGAGGATGTAACATATTTTAGAATTTCAAAGTTCACTTTTTCCATACACAAATTAATTTAACGGAAGAGGGTCAAAATTGCCCCTAAACTATGTGAAATAGACCACTTATACCCTCCATTACATTTTGGGATAAAAATACCCCCGCCGTTATCCTAGGAGACCACAAATACCCTCAAGAGTTAACACCCCAAATTATTAGTGATGTGGCAAGCCACATGGGACTAATCCCTCCACCTAAGCATTGCCAACTAAGATTCACTATAAAAGAATTTGACCTTTAGTGGCGACAAAGTTGCAACAAAATCCCAAAATATTGTCACTAAAGGTTATTAGTGATTTTTAGTGGCGACTAAGGCTCCAACAACCATTCGCTAGTAAAACCTATTTTTTCAACAAAAAAAATATGATAATTAATTTTCGATTGCAACCTAATTTTCTAAAATAAATAACTTGCAATATCAATATTAAAAACATACAATATTATTACGAAAAATCATCAAAATTACTTCTCGATTCAAATCTCCTACTATATAATGCATCACTGTACATTTTATACATTTACATATGACATAAAAATAAAACATACAATGTCTTAAAACTCCTACTTAATCGATATCATTTTTGGTTTTTTAAAAACAATGAAGAAAAAAACACAAAATTAGAATTTAATGTTAAAAACTTTTAGTGACGATTTTCTGGGCTTTTGTGGCGACTGTTGTTGCCACTAAAAGTCTAGTTCTTTTGTAGTGAATCCTAGTTGGCAACGCTAGGTGGAAGGATTAGTCCCACGTGGCTTGCCACGTCAATAAAAATTTGGGGTGTTAACTCTTGAGGGTATTTGTGATCTCCTAGGATAACAACGGGGGTATTTTTGATGCCAAAATATAATGGAGGGTATAAGTGGTCTATTTCACATAGTTCAGGGGCAATTTTGACCCTTTTCCGTT